CAGCAGCATGATTTGCAATACAAAGGGTACTCGGCATGCAACGGGGATTACTGATCTGTGTCGGAGGAGGAAGGAAGGCTCCATAACCATCATCCCTTGCTACATCCTTGATAGAAATGCACCAGACATAAAAGGTAACTACAGTGACATGGAAACAGAGAGGTACTGGGAGGACATGGTTTGTGGTGAAAACCCAGGTTTAGGATCAGAACTTTTTATTCCTGTGAGCCAAGAAATTTTCTGTCTGCTTAAGGGCTGCTGAAATTTACAGATTTTTGCAAGAAAGACATACAAGAACCAGAACAGTTGTCGAATTTCTGTCTGAAGTTCACTTGAAAAAAACTTGTATGTTAGGCTGGCAGATTCAAGGTGCTGCTCCTCAGTTTAAGGGAAAAATGAGGATTTAAAAGGTATCTGTCAGCAGCAGCCTGGCTGCTCGTTTATTCCTAGTGCAGTGTTTGCCACAAATTCTCAACAGAGTCCCTAATAATATTTCACAGTATTACAAAAAAGTTCATCCTTTTCCGACTGCAGTTAGTGGTAACTATGCCATCAAATCCTTTGGGATCGTGAACAGGCACAGCTGTCAACCCCAGCATACTGCATCAGCATCGCACCCGTGTTTTAATCACATATATTTTGAGGGGTGCATTTACAATGCATGGAAACTGACAGAAGACACACCTTTTGGTATTGACCTACTATAACAACCTGCCTTCAGGATTTAACAGAAGAGAAAGACTTTTTTTCTGGGAACATATTCTTTGTGTGAATGTTTAGATGGTGTCTGTATCTGTTCATAGGCTGTGGGGGTCTAGAGCATTGAGACCTGCTACTCACTGGGAAATTTGTGCTGTTCTCTGCATTCACTTGGGGAAGGCCCAATGATAGCCAAAACCAAAGAACAGAATAGAACATATTTTATTTGGTCTAAGTACTTGGAAAGTTAGAACTGTCTCTGAGAAAAGATTTTAGTTTGTGGTACTAGTATAGATATGACATACCCTCCAAAACAGGATGGCTACAAACTGTCTTCTGGGAATAATCCTTGGCCTACACTAATGCCTAGAACATGGCCAGACAGTGGCTTGAACAGTGCTAATAGACCCAGGCAATAAGTCTGCCAGGGACCACTCCAAAACCTTCTCAGTATACGTGGTCAGGTTTCTCTACTCAGGTCTGTGTTCTGGAAATGTTTCATTTACCAGCAGGAAGACAGATGGTTGACATGTGTAAGTCTGAGAAAGTTGACTGTCTCCTCTTACCTTCAGGAGGGTCACTCTTAACAAGAAATAAACATTAGATCACTCTCCCTTAGCCCCTCTTATCCCACAAGGATAATTGCCCTTTTGCAGGACCCACAGCTTTCAAAGCCATTTACGGGAAAATTCAGGACTGCAGAATTCACAACATACGTCTCCATCATGGCTGAGAAATTATGGGCTCTTCATCTTGAAAGACCTCTACTCCCACTGATACGTACTCACAAGCTACACATTAACCACCGTTTTTGTTTTCTGGGGCCTTTCACAAATCCAGACTGAACCAGTCAATGTAGCCAACATGCCCCAAACTCAAAATTCAGCCCAGATACAATGACTGAGCATATAAAAAATCCAAATGTTGTTTCCAATGACTGTCATTTAAGAGCATTTGGAAATCAGCCAGGTATAGGTCTGCCAGCAGTATTGATGTTATAGGCCATGTTTTCATAATTGGAACTAATATTGTAGCAAATCCTTCAGGCTCACATTCAGAATTTGTCTCAGCTGCCTAAACGTAGGTCTATGGCACCCTCTGAGATGCCATAAGGTATCCTGCCTGGATTTTAGTTGCCAATCAAGAGTAGAGACCTGCCAGTCTTGTTTCATGGTATCTCAGAAACCTTACAACAGGCTCACGGTACAGATGCCTCTGTTTGTGCATCTGAATTAAGCCTACATGAGCAAGCTATATGAAACAATAGAGTAGAAAACCTCTCTTCAGTAACAGCGAAAGTTGATCGTTTTCTTCCAGATTTAAAGCTAAATAATTCAATTTAATTAAGCCAAAAGGATTTTTGTGTGAGGATTTTTGTGTGAGGATTTTTGTTTTGTTTTATTGTATTTTATGAAAAGGTGAGTCACTATGGTGTACTATAAATGGTACTACTTACAGAACAATAAACAACCTTTGATCAAAGATTTCACTCTTAATTTCTTCATTTTAGGTATTTCTTCCAGGCAAAAAAGATCAATTTTCTAAGGCATGAGAAACACTCAGTCACATTAATAGAAGCTGCGGACTTGAAATCAGGCTACCACTTTGAAACTGTCTTCAGAAATATACTTACAGTTTAGTTATAAAAGGATATATTGAAAGGATAAAAAGGAGAGAAAAATAAAGATCTATTGGAAATCATATACAACTACATATTTCCCTA